CCTTCTACGTGACTTTACCGAAAGAACCAAGAATATGAATCCCCGCAGTCACGAAAGCTTTAAATCTAAATCTGAACACTTGTTGTTTTCATTAGATTTGAAACTTTTTTCATTGCCAGGAAGGGTACGCATGTGCTGTATGTTGAACTTCTTTCGCGCCGTACGTAGCCAACCGTGCAAATCGTAGGTGCCGGTTGGAAGGACAACGAACTAAACACAAAAAGGAGTTTTAAACTAATTCGTTTTCTATCTAGATGATTTAAAAGTGCAGAGCGCCCGCGGCTTTCTAATATGTGAAGGAAGAGTGTTCCAGATTGAGATTCATAAAAAATTAACCCGTAAAAACAAAAGTTTTTCACTATAAATCCTTTATATGCGTGGCGGCTAGAGTCCTCTCGTCCTCTGGCTTGAGATGGCTGCCACCTATGGGTCACATGATTGCCTGCCACCATTAAGCAATTGGTAATTAAATATAAAAAAAAATCCTAAAAAGTGTCAAATTTTTGAAAAAAATTTTCACGAAAATAAATTGTCACGCACAACGAGTCTGTGTGCAAAATGTCAGCTCGATTGGATCACGGGAAGTGGGTTTAAAAACGACCGAAAGATTTGCACGGTTGTAAGCGTGCAAGCAAGCAAGTGAACTTAATATAAAGGATTCAAAAATAATCAATATTAACAAACCACCGGTGACGATTATTTGAACAGGTCCTGGGCCTCCCCTAGGTCGACTCAGCCTCAAACGAGTAACTGGTGTGGTGTGTGAACATCGCCACTGGGGAGACAAAGGCGGCCGGGTGTGGTGAATCCAAGTCTCGGGCAAAGCCGGGTAGTACAGCTAGTTGTAAATAACAAATTATCTCTCGCCCAATATGGTACTCGAACCCACGGCCCCTGAGATTAAGAGTTGATAAATAAAATCAATAATAGATAACAAATAAAAAACAATCAATCTCCAACGTGGGGCTTGAAACCACGGCCCTCAGATTAAGAGTTGATTAATAAAAAACTAAAAGCTATAATAAATAACAATTAAAACATTTATATCTCTCGCCAAACGTGGAGCTCGAACCCACGGCACTAAGATTAAGCGTTTAAAACATAAGCAATAATAAATAACAATTAAAAAAATATACCTCAGCCCTAACGTGGGGTTCGAACCCACGGCCCTAAGATTAAGCGTTTAAAAAATAAGCAATAATAAATAACAATTAAAAAATATATATATATATATCTCCCCTAACGTAGGGTTCGAACCCACGGCCCTGAGATTAAGAGTTTAAAAAAATAATCAATAATAAATAACAATTAAAAAAATATATCTCAGCCCTAACGTGGGGTTCGAACCCGCGACCCCTGAGATTAAGAGTTGATACAAAAAAATATATAAACACTAAATAAAAATAATCTCTCGCCCAACGTGGGGCTCGAACCTACGACCCTGAGATTAAGAGTTGATACAAAAAAATATATAAACACTAAATAAAAATAATCTCTCGCCCAACGTGGGGCTCGAACCCACGACCCTGAGATTAAGAGTCTCATGCTCTACCGACTGAGCTAGCCGGGCGGATACGCATCAGGCGCGTCAGCTGTGTTTAAGAGTTAACTCGTACCACGTGTGACGGTGACTCACTTGCAGAGGCAAAGGTCACCCGTGTAGCCTCCGTAGGTTGTTGGGGCAAGTGCTGTGAGCGAACACGGATTAGACACGCGTGAAGACCACACAGGCAAAGGTCACCCGTGTAGGCTCCGTAGGTTGTTGGGGCAAGTGCTGTGAGCGAACACGGATTAGACACGCGTGAAGAGCACACAGGCAAAGATCACCCGTGTAGGCTCCGTAGGTTGTTGGGGCAAGTGCTGTGAGCGAACACGGATTAGACACGCGTGAAGACCACACAGGCAAAGGTCACCCGTGTAGCCTCCGTAGAATGGTTGGGGCAAGTGCTGTGAGCGAACACGGATTAGACACGCGTGAAGACCACACAGGCAAAGATCACCCGTGTAGCCTCCGTAGAATGGTTGGGGCAAGTGCTGTGAGCGAACACGGATTAGACACGCGTGAAGACCACACAGGCAAAGATCACCCGTGTAGGCTCCGTAGGTTGTTGGGGCAAGTGCTGTGAGCGAACACGGATTAGACACGCGTGAAGACCACACAGGCAAAGGTCACCCGTGTAGCCTCCGTAGAATGGTTGGGGCAAGTGCTGTGAGCGAACACGGATTAGACACGCGTGAAGACCACACAGGCAAAGATCACCCGTGTAGCCTCCGTAGAATGGTTGGGGCAAGTGCTGTGAGCGAACACGGATTAGACACGCGTGAAGACCACACAGGCAAAGATCACCCGTGTAGGCTCCGTAGGTTGTTGGGGCAAGTGCTGTGAGCGAACACGGATTAGACACGCGTGAAGAGCACACAGGCAAAGATCACCCGTGTAGGCTCTGTAGGTTGTTGGGGCAAGTGTTGTTAGCGAATACGGATTAAACTGATACACACACACGCACCAACTTCGTCAAATGATCGCCACTGTTATTGGTCCTGAGCTGGAATCGAACTCTGGTTCGGCGGATTCCGAACGCAGTGCGCAAACCACTGCGCCACCGCTCCCCACGTACAAACAAAGATAAAGATCACCCGTGTAGCCTGAACGGACAGTCGGGGCAAGTGCTGTTAGCGAGTAGCACCTATGATGGCTGGGCACGGCACGCGGATGGGGTGGGTGGCCAGCACCACACCCGGCCGCCTTTGTCTCCCCCAGTAGCGATCGTTTACACACCGCATCGTGTGACTCATTTGCGGCTGAGTCGACCTAGGGGAGGCGCAGGACAGCGCGCGAACCACCGCGCTCAGCGTCGACGCAAAACGCAGAGTCCGTCACGCGCTCACGGCAAACACAACAACAACAGCAGCAACAACAGCATCATCAGCAGCAGCAGCAGCAACAACATCATCATCAGCAGCATCACTCCGTCTTCACATTCTGCACGGTGGTGCGGATGGGTGGAGAGGTTTGCGCTGTGTCAGCAGGGACTGAGTGCGGGGCCCGTAGGATATTCTGGATTTGACATATCCCGTAGGATATGTTGTTATAAAGGGGTCCTAATTTAAAAAAAATTAATATTAAAGACATTTTTAACTTGCAAAGTAAAGTAATTGTATTTTTTTTATTTGCTACACAGCCGGATAATACCACAAATTCGCTCAACTTAAACACCCAGTCGTTAATACAAAGTTTAAGGCAGTATAGTACTATAGTAATAGACAGTGCCGGGTTAAGCTAGTGCGGGGCCTGTAGCATATCTTATTTTTTTAAACGGGTAAATATTAAAACACATACATACTAAAACACACATTTTTTACTTGCACAGTACAGTAATTGTATTTTTTGTATTTGCTACACAGCCAGATACTACGACAAATCGCTCAACTTAAACACCCAGTCGTTCATAAAAGTTGAAGGCGGTATAGTACTATAGTGATAGAGCAAGTGCAGAATCACTGAACCGGAATTGATAGCTTGAAAGCATTAAGCGCGGGGCCCTTGAAAGTGCGGGGCCCGTAGCTACTACATATGTAGCTACTACTACACGTGTAGTAGCTACTACTACACGTGTAGTAGCTGTAGTAGCTACTACACGTGGTTTATTAGTAATACATCGGTATTTTGCGACCCCCACTGCCACTGTGTAGCATATTATTACGTGCCAGGGACTCTATGAGATGATAGGACAATAATCTGAGTCCATAATTGGCAATGGTGCATTGTCTTTGAGTTGTGCGCCTTTTGGCGTCATCTGGTCCAACACCATGTGAGACTAGGCTCTAAGGAAAGCTGTCTCGGGTGTGGACCAATCAACTTCAAGGACAGTGCATACATTATCAGAGTTGTGTTTTTTGTTTTCATTCCGACCGCAGGTATTGTGGTCAATGCAAACATGACTCCTTGTAAAAAAAAAGGTGTCAGTTTTGTTGCCAGATAAAAGGGTAAAAACCCAATTATCATATTTTGCTACTGGCAAATGACGTGTTCCAATGGTGTTTGTTGTTGTTGTTGTTTTGCTTTTGCCGACGAAGATCGCAAGCGCTTTACGCCACGACCTGCGTTTGTCGAACTGCTGTAGGCGACTCACGTAGCCAGCCGTGCTAATCGAAGGTGCGGCGAGAAGGATAACAGAGCCGGGCTGACCAGGATCAGGGGCAACACGAGGAGGCCACGTGGGCGCAAGGGGGCCGATTGGGGGGTACGGGACACGGGGTCACGGGGGGTCACAAGCGCCGAGCGGCTCTGTCCGCCTGAAAGGAAGCGAGCGATGGGGAGGTGTGAAAAGTATTTGGCCGTGATGACCTATTGACCTTGAGCTTGTGTTCGTGTGTGTTCAAGTGATTTCGATGTAAAGCTTCTTTCGTGACTGCAGGGATTCATCTTCTTGGTTCTTTCGGTAAAGTCACGTAGAAGGGAAATAATAAAATAATAAAAATAAAACATAATAAAATAATTATCACGACGTTTCGGCCACAACGCAAGCAGCCGTCCTCAGGTGGAGAACCTGTCTGTCTCCCCGACAGACCTGGTTATGTTTATTTTTATTATTTTATTATTTCCCTTCTACGTGACTTTACCGAAAGAACCGAGAAGGTGTTCAAGTGAGTCGAAGGGTCTGCGCGTGTGTGTGTGTGTGTTCAAGGGAGCGGTGGCGCAGTGGTTAGCGCTACGCAGCGCTACGAACTTGGCGACCCGGGTTCGATTCCTGCTCACGGCCAACACCCAGTGACGATCATTTTAACCGTTCCTGTGCCTCCCCTAGGTCGACTCGGCCTCAAATTGGTACCCGGTGCGGTGTGTAGTAAATATCGCCACAGGGGAGACAAAGGCGGCCGGGCGTGGTGTTGGCCACCCACCCCCTCGTGTGCCGTGCCGGCCTTCATAAGTGCTCGCTAACAGCACTTGCCCCAACAGTCTGTTGAGGCTACAGGGGGGATCTTTGTCTTTGTTCCAGGGAGTCGGAGGGTCCTGCGTGCGCGCGGTCACCGACAGCCCCAAGGTCACGAGGTCACGAGGTCGCGAGGTCACGAGGTCGTGACCCCACGTCCGCTGGGGGTGGTGGGGGGGGGGGTTGAGGTTCTACCCCGGGACCGTTGCCGGGTGGAGTGGGGCCCCCCTGTGACCTCTCGCCCACCCCCCCGCGACCTCCCCCCCCCGTGACCTTTCACCTCCCACCCCCCCCGTGACCTCTCTACCTGCCGAGGCGCCCCCCCCCCGCCCGTCGCGAGGACTCCATGAGCAGCCCGGCAGAGAGCGGCGCGCAGCCTGGCAGCCTCCAACAGTCGCGAGGTGGGGGGCACGGGGGGGGGGCACAGAGGGGGGACACAGGGGGGGGGCACAGGGGAAGGGACACAGGGGGGGGCACAGGGGAGGGGACACAGGGGGGGGGCACAGGGGGGGGGGACACAGGGGGGGGCACAGGGGGGGAGCACAGGGGGGGGCACAGGGGGGGGGAGCACAGGGGGGGGAGCACAGGGGGGGGCACAGGGGGGGGGAGCACAGGGGGGGGGGCACAGGGGGGGGACACAGGGGGGGGCACAGGGGAGGGGACACAGGGGGGGGCACAGGGGAGGGGACACAGGGGGGGGGCACAGGGGGGGGGGACACAGGGGGGGGCACAGGGGGGGGAGCACAGGGGGGGGCACAGGGGGGGGGAGCACAGGGGGGGGAGCACAGGGGGGCACAGGGGGGGGGAGCACAGGGGGGGGGGCACAGGGGGGGGACACAGGGGGGAGCACAGGGGGGGGGGGCACAGGGGGGGCACAGGGGGGGGGACACAGGGGGGGGGCACAGGGGGGGGACACAGGGGGGGGCACAGGGGGGGGGAGCACAGGGGGGGGAGCACAGAGGGGGGGCACAGGGGGGGGACACAGGGGGGGCACAGGGGGGGGGAGCACAAGGGGGGGCACAGGGGGGGGGAGCACAGGGGGGGGGGCACAGGGGGGGGACACAGGGAGGGGGACACAAGGGAGGGGCACAGGGGGGGCACAGGGGAGGGCACGGGGGGGGCACAGGGAGGGGGGCACAGGGGGGGGGAGCACAGGGAGGGCACAGGGGGGGGGGCACGCGGGGGGGGGACACGGGGGGCACAGGGGGGGGCACAGGGGGGGAGGGCACGCGAGGTGGGGGGCACAGGGGAGGACACAGGGGGGGGCAGAGGGGGGGGGAGCACAGGGGGGGCACAGGGGGGGGGACACAGGGGGGGGCACAGGGGGGGGGGAGCACAGGGGGGGGGCACAGGGGGGGGAGCACAGGGGGGCACAGGGGGGGAGATACAGGGGGGACACGTGGGGGCCCACGGTGTTACGAGAATAGGGGGGGAGAGAGGGGCACACAGCGGGGTAAGGGCACCGAGGGACACGGGGATCGCGACGCCACACGCGAACTACAGGACATCCGCGAAGAGGAGCTTCAAAGCTCTTCGGATTTCTCCAGCACAAACACAAGGTCTGATAGCGAGGCGCGGCGCTGTCTGGATACCACGGCCCCCACCCTCTGACGAGGAAGGGCTGCGGGCTGGGTGATGAGAAGGGTATTTGTAGCCCCGACTTTGCCAAGGGACGTAAATTAAATTCAAAGTTCCGCGAGATAATTTCAGACATTTCAAAGATTTTTTCCCATGCGCCTAAGAGGCTCCGCAGATGTCTCCGTGTCCCCCGTGACTGCACATTGACACGCTGGCGCGGCCCCGCGTCCACGTGTCCCCCTTTCCCCGTCTTCCCCGTGTCCCCATATCCCCCGTGTCCACGTGTCCCCATGTCCACGTGTCCCTGTATATCCCTTTCCCCGTCTTCCCCTTGTCCCCATGTCCCCATATCCCCCATGTCCCCGTGTCCCCGTGTCCCCGTGTCCCCGTGTCCCCCTGTCCCCGTGTCCCCCTGTCCCCCTGTCCCCGTGTCCCCGTGTCCCCCTGTCCCCGTGTCCCCCTGTCCCCGTGTCCCCGTGTCCACGTGTCCTCATGTCCCCCTGTCCCCGTGTCCCCCTGTCCCCCTGTCCCCGTGTCCCCGTGTCCCCGTGTCCCCGTGTCCCCCTGTCCCCGTGTCCCCCTGTCCCCGTGTCCACGTGTCCTCATGTCCCCGTGTTCCCGTGTCCATGTATCTCCCTTTCCCCATGTCCCCGTGTCCCCGTGTGCCCGTGTCCACGTGTCCATGTATCTCCCTTTCCCCGTCTTCCCCGCGTCCCCCATGTCCCCATATTCCCCATGTCCCCGTGTCCACGTGTCCCTGTATCTCCCTGTCCCCGTGTCCCCATACCTCACCTTCCCCCCCCCCCCCCACGGTTACCCCCCCCCCCCCCCCACCGGTTACCCCCCCCCCGCCCCCCCCCGCAGTAGCTTCTCGGAGCCCCCCGTCTCTCTGCGCCGCTGAGGATGGCGCGTGGCAACTCGCGCGCGCGGTGACGCAGCGGCGGCCCCTGCTGGGACCCGCCCCCCACAGGAGGACCGCCGGCGTTGCCATGGAGACGGAGCATCGCCGTGGCAACGGTACGCGACTTCTCAGTGCACGTGGCGATGGGGATTCTTGAAGCCGTCTGTGGGGGGGTGGGCGTTGTTTGTACCTCGCGCGGGGTTGTGGGTCGTCCTCCGACACCAAGGCAAATTGAAGGGCCTCACCTAAGGGGCCGTCCATAAATGACGTCACGCACCTGGGGGGGGGGGGGGTCAGACAGTTGTGACGATGTGTGACGAGAGAGGGGGGGGAGAAATGTGACGTCATACTTTAAAATGCGCAACTTTAAATATATATAGACAACACGTTCTACTTATGATAATTGTTTTTTACCCTTTTATCTGGCAACAAAACTGACACCTTTTTTACGAGGAGTCATGTTTGCATAGACCACAATACCTGCAGTCATAATACTGTTCTACTTAATTAAATAGACTTTTTAATAATTGTTTTCTCCTACAACATCAGAGTGCAGCGCCACATTAAATACGCACTACAATGACAATAGTTTAAAGCGATTTGAAGCATGTTTTATTTTGGGGGGGGGGGGCAGAGCTTTGTGACGTCATATTTGAGGGGGGGGGGTCAGACTTTTTGTGACGCCGTGTGACGAGGGGGGGAGGGTCAAAAATCGTCCAAAATCGCGTGACGTAAATTATGGACGGCTCCTAAGAAGGGAAATTCGTGGCCGATACTCAATTTAGTTTTTACGTCTCTTATTGTAAGAGGCACACCGAGAACTTGTGCCCCGATGTCAATAAAGTTAAACAGACCTGCTCGCACACAAAGACAAAGGTGCCCCGTGTAGCCTCAACATACTGTAGGGGCAAGTGCTGTTAGCGAGCAGCACCGATGAAGGCCGGAACGGTACACGAGGGGGTGGGTGGCCAGCACCACGCCCGACCGCCTTTGTCTCCCCCATTGTTGTATGTGTACACACCGCACCAGGTACTCATTTGAGGCCGAGTCGACCTAGGGGAGGCCCAGGACCGGTTCAGATAATCGTCACTGGGTGTTTGTGGCCGCGAGCGGGAATCGAACTCGGGTTGCCGGGTTCGTAGCGCTAACCGCTGCACTACCGCTCCCCACGTCCAAAGACAAAGATCCCCCGTATAGCCTCTCACAGACTGTTGGGGCAAGTGCTGTTAGCGAGCACCTATGAAGGCCACGTACACACACACACACGCACACCGAATTATAAAATGCAAACCCATCAAATTTGGCTTTTTTAAATACAGAGAGCAGAGGGCGTTGGGGTTAGAGGTCGTTGTAGCAGTCAGCCTGCTACGCTGCGACCCGGGCGTACAGCCGAGTTCGATTCCCGCTCACGGCCTCCCCTAGGTCGACTCAGCCTCAAATGAGTACCTGGCAGCGGTGCCACTGGGTGAGACAAAGGCGGCCGGGCGTGGTGCTGGCCAGACACACTCTTCGTGCGCCGTGCCGGCCTTCATCGGTGCTGCCGTTCCCTAACAGCGCTTGCCCTCAAACAGTCTGTTACAGGCTACACGGGGGACCTTTGTCTGTATCTTTGTCATCGGGTGAATGCGGTAATCGTGGCGCGCGCGGGCGGCAGCCTGCTGCCTTCTCTGCCCGCGGTAACAACGTCGCTCGCCCATCTCGAGCACCAATTAAAGTCGCTCGCTCCATCCGCGGGAGGATTGAGAAAGCAATGAAATTATTAAATAAACTCGCCGCACATTCTTCGGATTTCACCACCGGGAGCCAGCTGACAGTAACCACACGGGTCGGAGAACGTGACGCAAGATACACCGTAATTATATGTGTGCGTGCGTGTGGACTGTGAAGCCTTCAATAGCTGCACCGGAGGAATTTCCATCTGGTACAGATACGATGGGAGGCTGATCGATGCCCGGGTGCGGTCAAGGGATGGCTACCTATTGCTCAACCACGTTATGTATGCCGATGATCTGGTAATTGCTGCTCACTCAGAGGAGGAGTTGGAGGCGCTGTTGCTGAACCTGGAGCTTGCCACTAAGAGGTGGGGCCTTACCATCAGCCCCACCAAAACGAAGCACCTGCCTGGGTATTTTGTACCATCGGACACTCCACCCCCACAACTCGCAATCAGTGATGGGGCGGTTGTGGAGAGAGTGGAAAGTTTCCCATACCTGGGCAGTGTGCTCATGACCGGCTACAGGTTTGACAGCAGAGGTCTCACTCAGAATCAGTCGAGCGGTATTATATTTTATCGGTTGCGTAATGCTGTGTGGAAGCTACCTCGTCTGTCGCTCCACATGAAGCTTCAAGTCTTCTCGGCCACGGTCATTCCATCCCTTATCTACGCTTGCGAAACGTGGACCCCCCTAATGGAGCATCTTCGCAGATTGGAAACATTGAGGCTGGCCTGCCTACGATCCATCCTGGGTTTAACCAGGCTGGATTGTGTGAGGAGCTCACAAATCCTTGAAAGATCTGGGCAAAGTCCCATCGGTGAGCTCCTCCGGTAGGCAAGGCTGCGTTGGCTGGGTCATGTAGCCCGCATGCCCAGCCACCGCATGCCTAAACAGCTTTTGTTCGGCCGGATCGAGAGGGCTAAACGGGCGCGGCACGGGCTAGAGAAGAGATGGAGTGATGTGGTACAGGAGGACGTGGAGCTGAGTGGACTTGCCGATGACTGGTACCAGCGGTGTCAAGATCGGCCTCTGTGGAGGAGGCTCGTGAAGGACGCTACTGGGCAGTTGGAGGCAGTCGCCCTCCAACAACAACGGAGGGCGGAGGAGCGACGCTCACAACAACGAGCGGAGCGCCAGATGGCTAAAGCACAGCAAGTTGGTACAGTAGGGGGCACAGGTGGTGCATCAGCCAGTCATCTCGGTCATCTCAATCAGTCGACCCGTTGCACCTGGGTCTGCCCCATGACCTCCTGCCAGCGGGCGTTCGACACTTCACGTGGCCTCAAGGTGCACATGGCCTGGCACAAGTGTCGTGGTGACGTCACCGCCACTTAGTGGCGAATGGCGGTTGTTGTTGTTGAGTGAGTGTGTGTGTGATAGTGTGTGTGTGAGTGTGTGAGTGAGTGTGTGTGAGTGTGTGTGTGAGAGTGTGTGTGCGAGTGCGTGAGAGTGTGTGTGTGTGAGTGTGTGTGGGAGAGTGTGTGTGTGAGAGTGTGTGTATGGGCGTGTGTGTGTAGTTTCACACACTGATGATGATTTGACACTGATGATGATGATGACACTGATGATGATGACGACACTGATGGTGATGATGACACTGATGATGATACTGATGATGATGACACTGATGGTGATGATGACACTGATGGTGATGACGACAATGATGGTGATGATGACACTGATGGTGATGATGACACTGATGATGATACTGATGATGACACTGATGGTGATGATGACACTGATGATGATGACAATGATGCTGATGATGACACTGATGGTGATGATGACACTGATGATGATGACAATGATGATGATGACGACACTGATTGTGATGATGACACTGATGGTGATGATGACAATGATGATGATTTGACACTGATGATGATGATGATGAACTAATGATGGTGATGATGACACTGAGGGTGATGACGACTCTGATGATGACACTGATGATGATGAAGTTGACAATGGCAATGACAATGATGATGATGACGACACTGATGATGATGACACTGATGCCAATGATGAAGATGCTAATAATGATGTTGATGATCACAATGATGATGCTGATCACAGTGATGACGCTGCTGATGATGACGACGATGCTGATGATGATGATGACGACGATGCTGATGATGATGACGACGATGCTGATGATGATGACGACGATGCTGATGATGATAACGACGATGCTGATGATGATGACGACGATGCTGATGCTGATGATGACGACGATGCTGATGATGATGACGACGATGCTGATGCTGATGATGACGACGATGCTGATGATGATGACGACGATGCTGATGATGATGACGACGATGCTGATGCTGATGATGACGACGATGCTGCTGATGATAACGACGATGCTGATGATGATGACGACGATGCTGATGATGATGACGACGATGCTGTTGATGATGACGACGATGCTGATGCTGATGATGACGACGATGCTGATGATGATGACCACGATGCTGATGATGATGACGACGATGCTGATGATGATGACGACGATGCTGATGATGATGACTACGATGCTGATGATGATGACGACGATGCTGATGATGATGACGACGATGCTGATGATGATGACGACGATGCTGATGCCATCTTCCGTGCAGGCCACGTCTCCTGTCCGCATCTGGGAACCTCCTGGGGCACCACGAGGTACGACGTTCCGGACGGCACCCCTCCGCAGAGCAACGGGGACGTGGCCAGGGCCAACCACGAACGGGGCTCCCGCTCAAACACCACCACCACCCCGACAACAACAACCACCACAACATCGGCCACGGCCGCCGCCGCCAGCGCAGCGACGGTCACCGCCACGGCCGTGGTGCTGGTGCCGCCTGCGGCCACGGGGAGCGGCGGCGTGGGTCAACGCGGGGTCACCGCCGCCACCACCGCCACCACCGCCGCCACCACCGCTGCCGCCACCACCACCACCGCCACCACCGCCACCACCACCACCGCCACCACCGCCGCCGCCACCGCCGCCACCACCGCCACCACCGCCGCCACCACCACCGCCACCACCGCCACCACCGCCACCACCGCCACCGCCACCGCCGCCACCACCGCCACCACCACCGCCACCACCACCGCCGGACGGCACCAGAGAAGGCGGAGGTCGAGGGGCGATGGGCGAGTTGGGGGGGCGCCCCCCAACAAACAACAGAAAGACGGAGAAGGTGGGGGGGGGGGGTCGTGGGGGGGGGGGGGCGGATGTGGTGGTGGTGGTTGGTGGGGTTGGTAGTGAAGTTGGTGGTGAGTGTGGTGGTGGTGGGGTTGGTGGGGTTGGTGGTGGGGTTAGTGGGGGTTGGTGTTGGTGGTGTTGGTGGTAGTGGTGGTGGTGTTGGTGGTTGTGGTGGTGGTGTTGGTGGTGTTGGTGGTGGGTGTGGTGGTGGTTGGTGGGGTTGGTGGTGAAGTTGGTGGTGAGTGTAGTGGGGTTGGTGGTGGTTGGTGTTGGTGGTAGTGGGGTTGGTGGTGGTTGGTGGGGTTGGTGGTGTTGGTGGTGTTGGTGGTGGGTGTGGTGTTGGTAGTGGTGTTGGTGGTGTTGGTGGTGGTGGTTGTGCTGGTGGTGTTGGTGGTTGTGGTGGTGGTGTTGGTGGTTGTGGTGGTGGTGTTGGTGGTGTTGGTGGTGGTGGTGTGGTGTTGGTGATGATGTGGTGGTGGTGTTGGTGGTGGTGTTGGTGGTTGTGGTGGTGGTGTTGGTGGTTGTGGTGGTGTTGGTGGTGTTGGTGGTGGTGGTGGTGGTGGGGTTGGTGGTGGTGGTGGGGTTGGTGGTGGTGGTGGTGGGGTTGGTGGTGTTGGTGGTGGGGTTGGTGGTGGTGGTGGTGGGGTTGGTGGTGTTGGTGGTGGTGGGGTTGGTGGTGGTGGTGGGGTTGGTGGTGGTGGGGTTGGTGGTGGTGGTGGGGTTGGTGGTGTTGGTGGTGGTAGTGGCCACACCACCTCCCTCTCGTGTACCGTTCCGGCCTTCATAGGTGTTTGCTAACAGCACTTGCCCCTACAGTCTGTTAAGGCTATACTGGGGATCTTTGTCTTTTGTGTGTGCGTGTCTGCGTTCCCATGCCGCCACCACATGTAGCCACATGCGCCCGTGTTTGTTTTTGCTGCGAGTTGGAGCTGGGATTGTGGCCAGCATTCGTGAAGAGAGCTTCACTGACTCGACACCAAACACGGCTCCCTTCACCCCCCCTCCCCCCCTCCCTCTCTCTGTGACCCACCGGCCAAAGTGATGTGTCAGATGATCAGCTGACTCACCAAATGACAGCCCACCCACTCAGCCACTGACCCACTGAGCCACCCACCCACTCACCACCCAGCGACCCACCACCAATTTCACTCACTCAGCCACTCAGCCACTCACCCACTGACCCACCCACCCCACTCACCACCAGCGACCCCACCACCCACTTCACTCACTCAAGACACTCAGCCCACTGAACCATCTGACCCACCCACCCCACTCACCACCCAGCGACCCACCACCAATTCCACTCAACTCAGCCACCTCACCCACTGACCCACTGAGACCACCCCCCCACTCACCACCCAGCGACCCCACCACCAATTCACTCACTCAGCCACTCAGCCACTCACTCACTGAGCCACCCCACCCACTCACCACCCAGCGACCCACCCACCAATCAACTCACTAAGCCACTCAGCCACTCACCCACTGAGCCACCCACCCACTCACCACCCAGCGACCCACCACCAATCACTCATCAGCCACTCAGCCACTGACCCACTGATCCACCCACCCATCATCACCCAGCGACCCACCACCAATTCACTCACTCAGCCACTCAGCCCACTCACCCCACTGAACCACCCACCCACTCACCACCCAGCGACCCACCACCAATTCACTCACTCAGCCACTCAGCCACTGACCCACTGATCCACCCACCCACTCACCACCCAGCGGACCCCCACCACCAATTCACTCACTCAGCCACCCACCCCACTGACCCACTGAGCCACCCACCCACTCACCACCCCAGCGACCCACACCAATTCACTCACTCAGCCACTCAGCCACTCACCCACTGAGCCACCCACCCACTCACCACCCAGCGACCCACCACCAATCACTCACTCAGCCACTCAGCCACTCACCCACTGAGCCACCCACCCACTCACCACCCAGCGACCCACCACCAATTCACTCCACTCAGCCACTCAGCCACTGACCCACTGATCCACCCACCCACTCATCACCCAGCGACCACCACCAATTCACTCACTCAGCCACTCACCCCACTCACCCACTGACCCACCCACCCCACTCACCACCAGCGACCCCACCACCAATTCACTCACTCAGCCACTCAGCCACTCACCACTGACCCCACCCACCCACTCACCACCCAGCGACCCACCACCAATTCACTCACTCAGCCACTCAGCCACTGACCCACTGATCCACCCACCCACTCATCACCCAGCGACCCCACCACCAATTCACTCACTCAGCCACTCAGCCACTCACCCACTGACCCACCCACCCACTCACCACCCAGCGACCCACCACCAATTCACTCACTCAGCCACTCAGCCACTGACCCACTGATCCACCCACCCACTCATCACCCAGCGACCCACCACCAATTCACTCACTCAGCCACTCAGCCACTCACCCACTGACCCACCCACCCACTCACCACCCAGCGACCCACCACCAATTCACTCACTCAGCCACTCAGCCACTGACCCACTGATCCACCCACCCACTCATCACCCAGCGACCCACCACCAATTCACTCACTCAGCCACTCACCCACTCACCCACTGACCCACCCACCCACTCACCACCCAGCGACCCACCACCAATTCACTCACTCAGCCACTCAGCCACTCACCCACTGACCCACCCACCCACTCACCACCCAGCGACCCACCACCAATTCACTCACTCAGCCACTCAGCCACTGACCCACTGATCCACCCACCCACTCATCACCCAGCGACCCACCACCAATTCACTCACTCAGCCACTCAGCCACTCACCCACTGACCCACCCACCCACTCACCACCCAGCGACCCACCACCAATTCACTCACTCAGCCACTCAGCCACTGACCCACTGATCCACCCACCCACTCATCACCCAGCGACCCACCACCAATTCACTCACTCAGCCACTCAGCCACTCACCCACTGACCCACCCACCCACTCACCACCCAGCGACCCACCACCAATTCACTCACTCAGCCACTCAGCCACTGACCCACTGATCCACCCACCCACTCATCACCCAGCGACCCACCACCAATTCACTCACTCAGCCACTCACCCACTCACCCACTGACCCACCCACCCACTCACCACCCAGCGACCCACCACCAATTCACTCACTCAGCCACTCAGCCACTCACCCACTGACCCACCCACCCACTCACCACCCAGCGACCCACCACCAATTCACTCACTCAGCCACTCAGCCACTGACCCACTGATCCACCCACCCACTCATCACCCAGCGACCCACCACCAATTCACTCACTCAGCCACTCAGCCACTCACCCACTGACCCACCCACCCACTCACCACCCAGCGACCCACCACCAATTCACTCACTCAGCCACTCAGCCACTGACCCACTGATCCACCCACCCACTCATCACCCAGCGACCCACCACCAATTCACTCACTCAGCCACTCACCCACTCACCCACTGACCCACCCACCCACTCACCACCCAGCGACCCACCACCAATTCACTCACTCAGCCACTCAGCCACTGACCCACCCACCCACTCACCACCCAGCGACCCACCACCAATTCACTCACTCAGCCACTCAGCCACTGACCCACTGATCCACCCACCCACTCATCACCCAGCGACCCACCACCAATTCACTCACTCAGCCACTCAGCCACTCACCCACTGACCCACCCACCCACTCACCACCCAGCGACCCACCACCAATTCACTCACTCAGCCACTCAGCCACTGACCCACTGATCCACCCACCCACTCATCACCCAGCGACCCACCACCAATTCACTCACTCAGCCACTCACCCACTCACCCACTGACCCACCCACCCACTCACCACCCAGCGACCCACCACCAATTCACTCACTCAGCCACTCAGCCACTCACCCACTGACCCACCCACCCACTCACCACCCAGCGACCCACCACCAATTCACTCACTCAGCCACTCAGCCACTGACCCACTGATCCACCCACCCACTCATCACCCAGCGACCCACCACCAATTCACTCACTCAGCCACTCAGCCACTCACCCACTGACCCACCCACCCACTCACCACCCAGCGACCCACCACCAATTCACTCACTCAGCCACTCAGCCACTGACCCACTGATCCACCCACCCACTCATCACCCAGCGACCCCACCACCAATTCACTCACTCAGCCACTCACCCACTCACCCACTGACCCACCCACCCACTCACCACCCAGCGACCCACCACCAATTCACTCACTCAGCCACTCAGCCACTCACCCACTGACCCACCCACCCACTCACCACCCAGCGACCCACCACCAATTCACTCACTCAGCCACTCAGCCACTGACCCACTGATCCACCCACCCACTCATCACCCAGCGACCCACCACCAATTCACTCACTCAGCCACTCACCCACTCACCCACTGACCCACCCACCCACTCACCACCCAGCGACCCACCACCAATTCACTCACTCAGCCACTCAGCCACTGACCCACTGATCCACCCACCCACTCATCACCAAGCGACCCACCACCAATTCACTCACTCAGCCACTCACCCACTCACCCACTGACCCATTGACCCACCCACCCACCCACTCACCACCCAGCGACCCACCACCAATTCACTCACTCAGCCACTCAGCCACTGAACAATCCGTTGGTCCCAGTGGCCCACTCGCTCACCCATCCACTCACTCACCCATCCACTGCCTCACCCATCCACTCACTCACCCATCCACTGCCTCACCCATCCACTGACTCACCCATCCACTGACTCACTCATCCACTCACTCACCCATCCACTGACTCACCCATCCACTGCCTCACCAATCCACTGCCTCACCCATCCACTGCCTCACCAATCCACTGCCTCACCCATTCACTGACTCACCCATCCACTCACTCACCCATCCACTGACTCACCCATCCACTGCCTCACCCATTCACTGACTCACCCATCCACTCACTCACTCATCCACTGACTCACCCATCCACTGCCTCACCCATCCACTGACTCACCCATCCACTCACTCACCCATCCACTCACTCACCCATCCACTCACTCACCCATCCACTCACTCACCCATCCACTCACTCACCCATCCACTCGCTCACCCATCCACTCGCTCACCCATCCACTGACTCACCCATCCACTCACTCACCCATTCACTGACTCACCCATCCACTGCCTCACCCATCCACTGACTCACCCATCCACTGGCTCACCCATTCACTGACTCACCCATCCACTGACTCACCCATCCACTCACTCACCCATCTACTCACTCACCCATCCACTCGCTCACCCATCCACTCGCTCACCCATCCACTGCCTCACCCATCCACTGCCTCACCCATCCACTCACTCACCCATCCACTGCCTCACCCATCCACTCACTCGCCCATCCACTCACTCACCCATCCACTCACTCACCCATCCACTCACTCACCCATCCACTCGCTCACCCATCCACTCGCTCACCCATCCACTGCCTCACCCATCCACTGCCTCACCCATCCACTCACTCACCCATCCACTCACTCGCCCATCCACTCACTCACCCATCCACTGCCTCACCCATCCACTGCCTCACCCATCCACTCGCTCACCCATCCACTGCCTCACCCATCCACTCACTCACCCATCCACTCACTCACCCATCCTCTCACTCACCCATCCACTGACTCACCCATTCACTGCCTCACCCATCCACTGCCTCACCCATCCACTGCCTCACCCATCCACTGCCTCACCCATCCACTGCCTCACCCATCCACTGACTCACCCATCCACTGCCTCACCCATCCACTGCCTCACCCATCCACTGCCTCACCCATCCACTGACTCACCCATTCACTGACTCACCCATTCACTGACCCGCCGGCTGACTCGTCCACCGACTCATCCACTCACTGACCGACTGCTCCACCGACTTGAACTGCTGGCCCCGCTCACTGACCCACCACTCACTGCCTCGCTCACTGACCCACCACTCACTGCCTCACTCACCGACCCACCCACTCACTGCTCCACTCACCGACCCACCACTTACCCAGAGACACTGACCCCCACCCACTCACTGCCCCACTCACCGACCCACCACTCACTGCCCCACTCACCGACCCACCACTCACTGCCCCACTCACCGACCCACCACTCACTGCCCCACTCACCGACCCAGCCTGTTGACCCACTGACCCCGCTAACCCCTCCGCCGTTCTCCCCCCCTCCCCCCTCCGCGCACACAGACTGCTGCGCTCGCTGCATCCTCGCCTGCCTCTTCTGCGAGTTCCTCACTCTCTGCCGACTCGTCTGCGAGTGCGGTGGTGGCGGCGGTGGCGGTGGTGGCGGTGGCGGTGGCGGCGGCGGCGGTGGTGGTGGTGGTGGCGGCGGAGCCGGTGGTGGTGGAGCCAGTGCCGCCTGCTGCTGCTGCTGCTGCACGGCTGCAGCAGCGGCAGCAGGGGGGGCAGCAGCAGCAGCAGGAGGGGGAGTGGGGGGAGGGGGGGGAGGAGAGGAGTGTGGCGGGGAGGAGTGCGACTGTGACTGCGGGCTGCTCGAGGGCTGCTGCGACTCGTCCGACTGCCTCGAGATCTGCTTCGAGTGCTGCGGCATCTGCCTCGCCTCCTAGACGGTCTCCATAGCGACGAGGACATCTGGCTGTCTCCATAGCAACGAGGACATCTGGCTGTCTCCATAGTGATGAGGACATCTGGCTGTCTACATAGCAACGAGGACATCTGGCTGTCTCCATAGCGACAATGGCACCTGGCTGTCTCCATAGCAACGAGGACATCTGACTGTCTCCATAGCGACGAGGACATCTGGCTGTCTCCATAGCGACGAGGACATCTGCCGGTCTCCATAGCAACGAGGACATCTGGCTGTCTCCATAGCAACGAGGACATCTGCCTGTCTCCATAGCAACGAGGACATCTGCCTGTCTCCATAGCAACGAGGACATCTGCCTGTCTCCATAGCAACGAGGATATCTGCTGGTCCCTATAGCGACGAGGACATCTGGCTGTCTCCATAGCGACGAGGACATCTGGCTGTCTCCATAGCAACGAGGACATATGGCTGTCTCCATAGCAACGGAGACATCTGGCTGTCTCCATAGCGACGCAGTGTCTGCCTGTCCTCCTAGACAACGCTCCATTGCCCATCGGTGCCTTGCTTCAAGTGTTTGCCGTTGTGTGTTTGTCGTTGTGTGTGTCTGTAGTTGTGTGTCTGTCTTTGTGTTTGTGCTCTAGCGAGTAGTACCTATGCAGGCTGGCACTGTGGCACACCAAGGGGTGGTGTAGCCAGCACCACGCCCGGCCGCCTTTGTCTCCCCCAGTGGCGACGTTTACACATCGCGCCAGGAACTCATTTGAGGCTGAGTCGACCTAGGGGAGGAGGCCCAGGACCGGTTCAGATAATCGTCACTGGGTGTTGGTGGCCGTGAGTGGGAATCGAACTCGGGTCGCCGGGTTCGTAGCGCAGCGTGGCGCTAACCGCTGCGCCACCGCTCTCGATAACCTCTAGGCGAGGAGAGTTTAGCCGCTCGATTCACTTCCTGAACAAGCTCCCCGGCGCGTGGGGCGAAACGTCGGACAACAACCCTCCGGCGAGGAAGAGACGCGCGGGAGGGAGCCACAGCGGCTGGGCAACCGCGAGAGATCAACACACGCTGTGCGGTGGTGGCCGTGGTGGTGGTGGTGGTGGCGGTGGTGGCGGTGGTGGTGGTGGTGGCGGTGGTGGTGGTTGTGGTGGCGGTGGTGGCGGTGGTGGCGGTGGTGGTGGTTGTGGTGGCGGTGGTGGCGGTGGTGGCGGTGGTGGTGGCGGTGGTGGTGGTGGTGGCGGTGGTGGTGGTTGTGGTGGCGGTGGTGGCGGTGGTGGCGGTGGTGGTGGTTGTGGTGGCGGTGGTGGCGGTGGTGGTGGTTGTGGTGGTTGTGGTGGCGGTGGTGGTGGTGGTGGCGGTGGTGGTGTGGTTGTGGTGGCGGGGGTGCGGTGTGGCGGTGGTGGTGGTGGTGGCGGTGGTGGTGGTTGTGTGGCGGTGGTGGCGGTGGTGGCGGTGGTGTGGTGGTGGCGGTGGTGGTGGTTGTGGTGGCGGTGTGGCGGTGGTGGCGGTGGTGGTGTTGTGGTGGCGGTGGTGGCGTGGTGGTGGTGGTGGTGGCGGTGGTGGTGGCGGTGCTGGTGGTTTGTGGTGGCGGTGGGTGGTGGTGGTGGTGGGCGGTGGTGGTGGTGGTGGCGGTGGTGGTGGTGGTGTGGCGGTGGTGGTGGTTGTGGTGGCGGTGGTGGCGGTGGTGGTGGTGGTGGTGGCGGTGGTGGCGGTTGTGGTGGCGTGGTGGCGGTGGTGGTGGTGGTGGCGGTGGTGGTGGTTGTGGTGGCGGTGGTGGCGGTGGTGGCGGTGGTGGTGGTGGTGGTTGTGGTGGCGGTGGTGGTGGTGGTGGCGGTGGTGGTGGTTGTGGTGGCGGTGGTGGCGGTGGTGGCGGTGGTGGTGGTTGTGGTGGCGGTGGTGGCGGTGGTGGCGGTGGTGGTGGTGGCGGTGGTGGTGGTTGTGGTGGCGGTGGTGGCGGTGGTGGCGGTGGTGGTGGTGGCGGTGGTGGTGGTTGTGGTGGCGGTGGTGGCGGTGGTGGTGGTTGTGGTGGCGGTGGTGGCGGTGGTGGCGGTGGTGGCGGTTGTGGTGGCGGTGGTGGCGGTGGTGGCGGTGGTGGCGGTGGTGGTGGTTGTGGTGGCGGTGGTGGCGGTGGTGGTGGTGGTGGTGGCGGTGGTGGTGGCGGTGCTGGTGGTTGTGGTGGCGGTGGTGGCGGTGGTGGTGGTGGTGGTGGCGGTGGTGGTGGCGGTGCTGGTGGTTGTGGTGGCGGTGGTGGCGGTGGTGGTGGTGGTGGTGGCGGTGGTGGTGGTGGTGGCGGTGGTGGTGGTTGTGGTGGCGGTGGTGGTGGTGGCGGCGGTGGTGGTGGCGGTGGCGGTGGTGGTGGTGGCGGTGGTGGTGGTGGCGGTGGTGGTGGTGGTGGTGGCGGTGGTGGCGGTGGTGGCGGTTGTGGTGGTGATGGCGGTTGTGGTGGTGGTGGCGGTGGTGGCGATGGTGGCGGTGGTGGCGGTGGTGGCGGTGGTGGCGGTGGTGGTGGCTGTAGTGGTGGTGGTGGCGGTGGTGGTGGTGGCGGTGGTGGCGGTGGTGGTGGCGGTGGTGGTGGCGGTGGTGGTTGTGGTGGCGGTGGTGGCGGTGGTGGTGGCGGTGGTGGCGGTGGTGGTGGTGGTGGCGGTGGTGGTGGCGGTGGTGGTGGCGGTGGTGGTGGCGGTGGTTCTGGTGGTGGTAGCGGTGGTGGTGGTTATGGTTGAGGTTATGGTGGTGGTGGTGGTGGTGGTTATGGTGGTGGATGTGGTCGTGGCGGTGGTGGTTGCGGTTATGGTTGTGGTTGTGGTGGTGGCGGTGGATGTGGTTATGGTTATGGTGGTGGTGGTGGTGGTGGCGGTGGTGGTGGCGGTGGTGGTGGATGTGGTTATGGTTATGGTGGTGGTGATAGTGGTGGTGGCGGTGGTGGTGGTGGCGGTGGTGGTGGCGGTGGTGGTGGATGTGGTTATGGTTATGGTGGTGGTGATGGTGGTGGTGCTGGTGGTGGCGCTATGTGTGGATGAGTTGTCGTCTGCCGGCCACCTCAGTGAGTCAAGCCCTGGGTCTGTCTCGTCACCTCCTGCCAGCAGCCGCGTGCCTCCCACAAAGTGCACCTAGCCTGGCACGACAAGCGCTGTGCTGGCGTCACCACCACTTCAATCAAAGACCAACAACCACAGGAGTGTGATCGTGGCGATGCAACGATAAATACACCCTGTCGTAAACCCATAGATACACATAGAGATACGTAGAGATACACAGAGACCCATAGACATACATAGAGACCCATAGAGGCCCATAAAGATACATAGAGATACATAGAGACCCATAGAGACACACAGAGACCTATAGAGACCCATAGAGATACATAGAGACCCATAGAGACACACATAGACCTATAGAGACCCATAGAGATACATAGAGATACACAGACCCATAGAGATACATAGAGACCCATAGTGCCGCATAAAGATACATAGAGATACATAGAGACCCATAGAGACACACAGAGACCCATAGAGAACCATAGAGATACATAGAGATACATAGAGACCCATAGAGACCCATAGAGATACATAGAGACCCATAGAGACACACATAGACCTATAGAGACCCATAGAGATACATAGAGATACACATACCCATAGAGATACATAGAGACCCATAGAGATACATAGAGACCCATAGAGACCCATAAAGATACATAGAGATACATAGAGACCCATATAGACACACAGAGACCCATAGAGAACCATAGAGATACATAGAGACCCATAGAGACACACAGAGACCCATAGAGACCCATAGAGATACATAGAGACCCATAGAGACACACATAGACCTATAGAGACCCATAGAGATACATAGAGATACACAGACCCATAGAAATACATAGAGACCTGTAGAAACCCATAGAGATACATAGAGACCCATAAAGATACATAGAGACCCATAGAGACCCACAGAGGCCGTATGGCAAACACTCCTTCACCGCAGCAGCAGCAGCAGGAGGGGCAGCAGCGAGCGTCACGCCGCGGGCTCTCTCTGTGCTGAAGCCCTCCTGAACAACAACAACAACATCGTCAACAACAACCATCGCTGTTGTTGTTGTTGTCGCCACCGCGCAGCCCTCGCGGGTCGCTTGAGATCTGATCTCGGCACTCGCTCATTTTCTCTCCGCTTTGTAGTTTTTTTAAACAAAGTTTTTTCATCATCGTCATCATTATCATCTGTTGTTGTTGTTGTTATTGTTGTTGTTGTTACACGAAAACAATATTAAACTGGACGCGGGAGGGTTAGGAGAGAAAAAGTTGGGAAGTGTGGACTACTGACAGCGAGTTGCACGTTCTCGGCGACGAGATTAAGTTCAACTATTACGACTAAAACAAATCGGTGTTTTACTGGTGGGAACCTCCTGGTTACACCAGCCCACAGGGGATTGTGTCCGTCGTGCAGGGAGGGGCTGGGTGGGGAGGGAGGGGCTGGGTGGGGAGGGGCTGGTGGGGAGGGGCTGGGTGGGGAGGGGCTGGTGGGGAGGGGCTGGGTGGGGAGGGTGGGGCTGGGTGGGGGGTGGGAGGGGTGGGGCTGGGTGGGGAGGGGCTGGTCACCCCGTGGTGCCCTTATAAAACGCAACGTTTAACCTACTCACGCCGGCTTGTGCCCGCCCTCACAGTCGGGCATATTTGCGGAATACACCACGCCGCCGTTGACCCTGACCATCGACCGAGCAACCCAACGTTCCTACCAGCTCCCTCCGCAGGACAATGTGTTTGTTTGACGAGGTAAGGCCCACTGAGCTATGTAGCTGTTCATTCAGAAGCGACCTGGTCACCACGAATCATCGCTCAACGAAGTGGCTCATCATCCTTGTCGTCGTGTGGAAATTTATAGTAACAGCGAAACACGCTGAACGCGCGTGACATTCATTCTACATGTGGAGGGAGAAAAAAACCGAAGGACCCAGAGGCAAATCCACGCGACCACGGGGAGAGAAAGGCAACGCAAACTCCAAATATACAGAAGGCGTCAGGGGTCGGGATCGAACCCACGACCTCCTGTTCACCAGGCGAGGTAGTTAACATCTCCTAGCCACCGTGGTGATGATGAGAGAGACACGCAAACTCCAAATATACAGCAGCAGGCGTCAGGGTCGGGATCGAACCCACGACCTCCTGTATACCAGGCGAGGTAGTTAACATCTCCTAGCCACCGTGGTGATGATGAGAGAGACACGCAAACTCCAAATATACAGCAGCAGCAGGCGTCAGTGTCGGGATCGAACCCACGACCTCCTGTACACCAGGCGAGGTAGTTAACATCTCCTAGCCACCGTGATTATGATGAGAGAGAGACACGCAAACTCCAAATATACAGCAGCAGCAGGCGTCAGGGTCGGGATCGAACCCACGACCTCCTGTATACCAGGCGAGGTAGTTAACATCTCCTAGACATCGCGGCGAGGTGATTGCTCTGATTGCGGTGTTCTCTCCTCGCACGAGTGTGGACATCAGCCCCTGGAGGGATCGATGTCTGTCCCAATCGATCTGCGATACTGGACATCTGTGACAAAGTGCTTCACGGCTCATCGGGTTTCTCCAGGATGAATATTCTTACGATTGGGAACCGCGGCAAACGCGACGGGCGAAAGTTTCCGTTCGTATCGGATCGACGTCACGGGTTTGCTGGTCGAGAAGAAGGTGGCTGATTGATGTTTGTTTGTTTGTTGTTGTTGTTGATTTATTTGGAGTGGCCATTCGGCTCTCGGGAGGGAACACGTCTGAGCTGTTACCCCCCCCGCCACCCCCCCATCCATCCATCCACGGCGCCAAACTCGCCCCGTCAGTTCGGTGGTGATAAATGTCTGGAGTAGACATCACCAACTCGCGTGCGTTTATCTGTGTGTGTGTCTGTGTGTGTGGGGGGGGTGTCTGTGTGTGGGGGGGGGGGGGGTGTGTCTGTGTGGGGGGTGTCTGTGTGTGTGGAGGTGTCTGTGTGTGTGTGTGCGTCTGTGTGTGTGTGGGGGGGGGGTGTCTGTCTGTGTGTGTGGGGTGTCTGTGTGTGTGCGTGGGGGGGGTGTCTGTGTGTGTGTGGGGGGGGTGTCTGTGTGTGTGTGGGGGGTGTCTGTGTGTGTGTGTGTGGGGGGGTGTCTGTGTGTGTGTGGGGGTGTGTGTGTGTGGGGTGTCTGTGTGTGTGTGTGTGGGGGGGTGTCTTGTGTGTGTGTGGGGTGTCTGTGTGTATGTCTGTGTGTGTGTGGGGGGGGGTGTCTGTGTGTGTGTCTGTGTGTGTGTGGAGGTGTCTGTGTGTGTGTGTGCGCCTGTGTGTGTGTCTGTGTGTGTGTGTCTGTGTGTGTGCGGCTGTGTGTATGTGGGGGGTGTCTGTCTGTGTGGGGTGTCTGTGTGTGTGTGTGGGGGGTGTCTGTGTGTGTGGGGGGGTGTCTGTGTGTGTGGGGGGGGGTGTCTGTCTGTGTGTGTGGGGGGGGGGTGTCTGTGTGTGTGTGTGGGGGGCGGTGACGTCACCACGGCGCTTGTGCCAGGCTAAGTGCACCTTGAGGCCACGTGAAGTGTCGAACGCCCGCTGGCAGGAGGTCACGGGGCAGACCCAGGTGCCACGGGCCGCCTGACTGAGATGACTGAGACGACTGGCTGATGCACCACCTGTGCCTTTGACTGTGCCAACTTGCTGTGCTTTAACCACCCGGCACTTCGATTGTTGTTGTGAGCGTCGCGCCTCCGCCCTCCGTTGTTGGAGGGCGACTGCCACCAACTGCCCAGTAGCGTCCTTCACGAACCTCCTCCACTGAGGCCGATCTTGACACCGCTGGTACCAGTCATCGGCAAGTCCACTCAGCTCCACGTCCTCCTGTACAACATCACTCCATCTCTTCTCTAGCCCGTGCCGCGCCCGTTTTGCCCCCTTAATCCGGCCGAACAAAAGCTGTTTAGGCATGCGGTGGCTGGGCATGCGGGCTACATGACCCAGCCAACGCAGCCTTGCCTGCCGGAGGAGCTCACCGATGGGACTTTGTCCAGATATTTCGAGGATTTGTGAGCTCACACAATCCAGCCTCGTTAAAACCAGGATGGATCGTAGGCAGGCCAGCCTAAATGTTTCTCACCGGCGAAGATGTTCCATTAGGGGGGGTCCACGTTTCGCAATCATAGAGCAGGGATGGATTGACTGTGACCGAGAAGATCTGAAGCTTCGTGCAGAGCGACAGACCAGGTAGCTTCAACACAGCGTTACGCAACCGATGAAAAGATATTGCCGCTCGACTGATTCGGAGTGAGACATCTGCTGTTAAACCGGAGCTGGTCATGAGCACACTGCCCAGGTATGGGAAACTCTCTACTCTTTCCACAACTGCCCCATTACCAATTGGGAGTTGTGGGGGTGGAGTGTCCGATGGTACAAAATACCCAGGCAGGTGCTTAGTTTTGGTGGGGCTGATGGTATAGTGGCAAGCTCCAGGTTCAGCAGCAGCGCCCCCAATTCCTCTTCTGAGTGAGCAGCAATCACTAGATCATCGGCATACGTAACATGGTTGAGCAATAGGGAGACATCCCTTGACCGCACTCGGGCATCGATCAGCCTCTCATTGTATCTATACCAGATGGACATTCCTTCGGTACAGATGCTGAAGGCTTCACGAACTACGTGAGCGAAATAGATGTTTAATAATGTGGG